TATACATCTGTTTCACATGATAGTATATAAGTATCCATGGTTTAGAGATGGTCTGGGAAAAATGGACGTCCACAGGACGTCCCTGCAACGTCATGAAACTCACGTCTCCTTTTACTCATCTAAGTGACGTTCACTCGACGTCGAAACGATGACTTGATTATCACTTCATAGAAAGTACGTCACAGTGACGTCATAAATTGGTGTGTGACGTCTCTGACGAAAAATCACCAATTAGGGACGTCACAGTAACGTGATCATCTGTCATCTGGTTGCCTGGGTTATATTTCAACGGCATGAATTCGTGAATAAGAACGATGCAAGTATCTCGGGGGCGAGAAATTTGAGGAACATTGAAATACTAAATGTCTGTTTATGTGCCACATGTGAAATTGTGCGAGTCTCTATTTGAATAATGTTATGGAGGAAAATATAGATAATGTACCATTTGATCCAGATGATATTCCCGGTATTTGGATTCTTGATATTTGTTTCGTTAGCCTTATCTTCCTGATCTTGTGAATTCTGGATTCTGAAGAATGTGTGAGTTTCATTTCTCTTTTCACCATAAGCTCATTACTGATTTGTCGAATCCCATTCTTCAGAAAATGATAGGAATTATTATCCGTAGTAGACAAGTGAATGAAACAGTAATGACAAGTGGATAAGTAACAAATAACAAGTGCATGGTTCACTAATGACAAGTGGATAACTTCAACTGACAGGTGCACAGTTTACTTGCCATTAGTGAGGTTAATGGTTACAGCAAGTGATTTGATCACCCATATGAGTATCAATCTGGCATTCTTTGGAATTGATATAAAATGACAAGTGTTTTTCCTGCCTACTATCAACGACTCATTACAGCCATTGAATTCAAATGTACTTGCACTATTTGCTGACGACACATCTATAGCGGTCTCGTGATGGATCCCATGAGCAGTTCCAAGGATTACTTGACGTCATTCAGAAGTTTCGCAGCTGGTGTAACTGAAATGGTTTGATTCTGAACTTGGGGAAAACTGAATGCATATACTTTCATTCACACAATGCTCCAAGTGATGAATGGCTATTTCTCAATATTGGATAGACTCAATTAACATCAACAAATTGTACGAAATACCTAAGAGTCTATGTTGATCACAATTAGAGGTGAACTGATAATATAACGCACTCAGTGAAAAAATCTTAATTCAACCTACTTTGCAATGCCGCGGATGAAACATTCTTTGCCAACAGATGCCTTATTGAATGTCTATCACAGCCTCGCATACAGCAATCTGACCTATAACATTGTCTCATGAGGTCAGTCTGTAGATATATAGGCAGAAAAAATTTGTTGCCCAACAGAAAAATCATGAGTAATAATTTGAACATGCATCCCCATGATTTCCGCAAGCAGGTCTTAACCTCATTTTTTTTCATGCATTAACATTTACAAAAGGTCACTGTATGTGTGACAAAAAATATCCAAATATATCAAAAAGTCAACATTACATAATTACGGAACCAGACATTCTGACTTTTCATCTATCCCTACACACAACACCAAAAAAATTTTAAATTACATTCCATATATGATGGGAATCAAAATGTTAAACCATCTCGCAAGTAACTATCAACTTCTCGATGATAACCTTCTCAATAAATATGTGAATGGAACTACTGTCGAGGAAATGTTACTCCAGTATTCAAGAGTGCTTCTCGGACAGAGACATATAATGTTCAAATCCAGTATAGTAACTGATTTCATGTTCAAATGTCTCATTTGTTTTTACTTATCCTATACATTGTTTGGATGTAAAGTGGAACTATATGCCTGATATATCATCATTTCTACAAAGTTCACTGTTCAGGGTGTTCCAAAACTGAGTATAAAGAATTCAGGAGTTTATCTCTCAGATCGAAAAAAAACTTTCTCTTCCATAATCATGTATCTGCAAACGCTATGTTACAGATCAAGGAAGCGTTGAAATTTCAAGATTATTTTTATTCGTCTTCACAGCTCATTCAGTTTTCGAAATATCTAGATTGGATTTGGTACATATAGGCAACGTTTCATGGTTCACGATATGTGTCGAAGGATTGTGAGAAACTACATGAAGATATTTTTCCAGAAGTCAAACCGTTTTTCTCTTCATGAACTATCTGTCCTGAGGAGCGTCACTGGTAGAAATCGGAATAGTTTATTCTCTTCGGTTGTTGACTATCTTGTCAACGACCGATATCCAGATAAAAAAATCTTGTATATTGAAATCTTGAAATCCATTTTCTTGAAATTCAATTGATCCGTAAATGAACTTTCCATTTGAATGAAACAACATATATACTCGTTCCAGATCAATCGGCTTGCTTGCTTTGTAACTTGGAACTTCTTGATATGAATTTGCTCGACAATAACAGTATATTTCTTCATTCGAGAAAACTGCGACTAGACTAGTGACTTAATTTATATTGGTTCAAGAAAATCTCTGCTAATCTAGAAGACTTGCAGTGACGAATAAACAGCGGTACGCCTGCGCCCATTCAACTCCTTAGTCGTTAGCCGCCATTCTTCATTGTCGCTGCTGTTTCTTCTAAAGACGGTGCGAAGCACCTTCGTTTTTTGATGATGAAGTGTTGAAGCGTCATGTGTGCTGATTCATGGAAAATGAAAAATAGTGTTGTGGTAACATCTCCACAGCAATGCAATTCAATTTTATATTTGATCATAATCTGATCGGGTAAGAACTTTATATATTTTTGTAACATACCTAGATGTACCTAGTGGGGTGTTTTCCCTTCTTTTTTTATCGGTTACGTGCTAAGAACCTTGAGATATCAAACCTGATGCCATACCCACATCACTGCCAACGCATGTGGTCATTTTTGTATAACCTGCACAGCACACATTCGTTCAGCCTTCGATCATACAGAGCGTTCAGCAGTGACGATTTGACTAGTCGCATTCATTCGATGAACGAACTTATAGTATAAGGTATAAGAAGGTAATTGTCCATTCTTTGAACATTTTATAGTCGATTCCTGATCAGAATGATTGAACCAATAATGCAAATGTCTCCTTTCTTCGTGTTTTACATACATATTACTACTTTTATACATACCCTCGTGTCATACGCAGAATTTCTTATAACCAGGAAGTATCTGGTTGTCTTGAAATTCCGTTTGTTCTCGACGATGCCTGGCTGTGATGAATAAAAATGTTGTTGCTTCTGAAGCAAGTTCTATTTAGGTATACTGTCAATTATTCTCAATCAACAAGCTACTCTGAAAAACACACAAGACATTTTCATTCGATGATTTGCCTCATTTTCACTACAGGTTTTCGTGGTTCAACATTCAAGCCATTACAAGCACATGCAGTGACTTCCTGGATAAGAAGACAGGGACAACAAATCACAAAAATCTAGAAACATGAATATTCCACCTCCTAGATCAAGCTGCCTATAGTATTTGATAATTCAACTGTATGTTCATGTTTTCATTCATACTATACATGTTTTCATTCTTGTAATGTTATGATAGGATGACCAACTTTTGATAATGAAGCTTTTCATATACCAACTGTGAGAATCAATTTTATTCATTTGATGCTCAATACTCTAAAAGTGAGGTATATTCATATGTTCTTCAAATTCATAATCTCTTGGCACAATAAATTGAGGGTCTCCACTTCACTTATTATAATGAGATATTTTCTAGTTGTAACTGGCTCAAAATTTCTTGATTCAAAAACAAACTGTTCTAATATCATGTGAGATCAACTTGACAATAGAAGAATCATCTTGTTTCAAACGAATTAATTCTTTCTTTGACCGAAATGAGTCAAGAAAGTTCTGTAGAAGAATTAAACAAATATTTGATTGGACTAATTCAAGAGCGCCATATGGTTGGATCAATGCTGTCCGCAATGAATCAAGAAATTCTTTTCATCTGTAAAGATTGAATTGATATTTTCAACAAAAGTTTATTACCCATTAATAGTTTCTCGATCGAAACCTGAAGAATATAAGAGACTGAACGAACCTTGAATTTCATAAAGGTTGTTGGAAAATGAAGAGATCATCAGACCTCAACGCTATTAGTAATGGAGCTTTCGCGGACACACTCATAGAGAAAAAAGTCTAATTCTGACCTGAAAAATAAGTTCCCAAAATCTTGATATTGAATTTCAAAACACCCAATATATATGGTCGGTTTTTCCCTCAGCAATACTCTTTCCGGGAAAGAACATGTCAGATCCATCGAGAAAAAAGCTTCACGAAAACCCTTGATTTTTTTTCCGTAAGAGTATAATAATATGCTTTTCAACTCTACAGCTTCTCATGATACGGTCTGTTCTGAAATACTCTTTCCACATAGTTCAGCACCCAAACATACGCTGATGTTCTCTGATCCTATCCAGAGAATAGCGATACGCCCCGTGGGTGATGCCACACTCACTATTTATTTGTTATCCTCAATCGAAACACTGTAAAAAAGTAGACGACGACCTTCTATCTCATTAAAGATATCTCCACGGAAAATATTTTCCAAAAACCTCTGATGCAATCATTCCATCACTCGCAATACAAACCAGATAAAGTCGGCATGCACAAAGAGCACATCATTTCGTCGCCAACCTGGAGATTTTTCGAACAACTCTTTACCAGAACTAGTTTGTTCATAGAACGGCAATGCTGTGAGAATTTTTGCCAACAGAATTATTCCCAAGAACTTATAATTTCTAAGATCTCGAAGAGAAACATCCAATTTCTTTCTTCACTTCCTATCCTCCCTATAGGTTTGCTCGATATAATTCCATTATCGAAGGTATTTTTTTTTGTGCGCTTCAGATTATGAAAAACGTCTGAATACGCTACTGGAGTGTTATCATCACCTAAAAACACAATGAATTCATTGCAATCGGTATAATGATAAAGAAGAAATTGACGGAAACGTCACGAGGATTTTTCCATTCAATGAACAAACAATACCTATATAATTAATTACAGGTGTCTTTCTTGAGACCTGCCTATATATAATTGCTCATTCACAGCAGTATTGTTTGTCTAGTGTTGAAGTTCAAATTGACCATCAATATCGGTAAACAAATGCTGCAGATATCTGAAGTAGAATATAAAGCCATATTGAAACATCACAATGTATCTGAAAGAGAGTTTCTCGAACGAGTACAAATACTCAAAGAGTGGATGGAGAAAAGTGATTTGCCCATTGAAGGTAACTGTGTTAGGAACTTATACAGGGTTCATCGTGATATCGTTAGTATTACAGAATTCAGAATTCTGGAGCATATTGCTGATGTCAAAATGAGAAGGAAAGTTTGTAATCACCTATGTTTGCCAATCACTCATTCGAATCATAGTTATTTTTTATACAAGGGAAAAAAGTAGTAGATTCTAGCTCCAGGTTGTGTTGTCTCCCGTCGCGTAGCGTAGGGAGACAAAAAACCGTGAGGTGAAATCGAATATTTTTCCCGTGTATAATTTTTTTTTTGTGACAGAAGAAAGGACGAATCAATATTGGGAAGATATCACATCATTTTGGAATCTGAAAATTATCGACGTGAAATATTAAGTTTTCAACAGTAGGGACACCTGCGTTGTAGGCATCTTTACCATTCTTTTGAAATAATCGAATATCTGATGTCACTTCTGTCAGTCTGATTCGGTGATTTGATTTCAAAAAATTGCGAATTTAGTGGTTGTTTAGTAATATACGTAACCGCGAAGTCGAATGGGAGATAAGAGGACATGCAGTTCTTTCTCGGAGACGGTATTATTGACTCATTTTTCGGAACTATAGCACAACAAAAGACATCATCAGTGTATATTTATGTGATATAGATCCGGTGCAAAAGTACTCACTTTTTTTCCCACAGGAAAAAAGTAATTTATGAAAAGTGACATTTCATAACCTGCCAACAGAGATGAAATGCCAAACTTTTTTCCCGTCACAGAAGAATATTTTTCTTTGGTTATGAATTCTATAATAATTGACCCATTTGAGTTAAGCTTTTCATCGTCTGAGGATGTTTTCCAATGCAAAATCAAATTGCATTGTGGTTAGTCTCTTTCGTGAGGGTTATTGTACTCAACCATTCAGACTTTCTCGTACTCACCTGTATTACTTTCTCAGTAGAACGATAGATTTCATCATATTCCCTTGTGAAAAAGTAGTTCTGGAATAGATTATTGCAACTACTATCGAGTTATTGTTCTATGAAATAATCGATGCAAATGATTTCGAATGACAACATATCCTAATTCAAAATCAAATCAATTAGTTGGAGACATCACTTCCATCATCTGGTTCCATTTTGGAATTGGAATCGACTGTACGCACGTTGATGAGACGACGCATGCATAATAATTATGCAATTTGTAAGGTGACCATTTTCAACAATCATAACCCTCAATTGACTACTTACGTCTCAATTATTGTTATTATCATTAGTATTGACTTGTAATAGCACTAGATTCCTATTTCGATTGGAGACATGAAATTTGTCTAACCAACTGAGCTAATTTTGAATAAACAAGTCCTTATTCGAAATCACACGATATAGAAGCATCGAGACAGCTCTGATTAAATTTGTTTGTCAAGGAGTTGAGACTATGGATGATTCAAATTTAGTTCTTGAACTGGTCATCGACTTCTCCAAAGCTCTGGATTATTTCCATCACCAAATTTCATTACCCAAATCATCAAGAAACGGAACAAAAGAAGTCGTCTATAACTGGTTCAGTTTGTAACGATCCTCGTTCTTGAAATTTGATAAAATCAGTTCCAAATACCTGGTGTCTTGCCAATTCGTCAGTTTCCTGCAATCTTCTTGCTTCTGTGTACTATTTCTTCTGAGATTTCTTCACCATTCACCAGCTCCTTTATGCTACTCTTCCTCCTATCATTATTTCTACTATATAAACTACCAATGAATTCACTACTTCCGTAAATACCTTGTGTTTTTCCCATTTCCCATTTTCCAAGAATCCCCATTTGTTTCTTTTTTCTCCTCTCCTTGACAACCCCTATTCTTATTGTTTTCAGTTCACCGCGTTTCATTTATGACTATATACCGAGTTTGTTTGATTCAATTTTCAATAACACCGTTGCAAGTTCATATCATGGTGATCGTTTTCAAAGAATCCGTATGAAAATCCCAGATCTAGTAGCAGTTAACAGCGGTGTACATCAGAAGTCCCACATGACTTATTGTGTTCATAAATTACCTAAAGCTCTTCAACAGTTCATCATCTCAGAACTAGAGAAATGTGAATTCAATATATTTTCAGTTCTCCTCATATTTGAATGGAACAACTTTTCCTGTGTTTTGAATATAATGGCATATACATGTCTATCTAAGAGTCGAATCGTTTTCTCTTAGAAATGCCTTCACTCAACACATTTGTTCGAAATGAGGTGACAACGTATTGAAACTTCGAAACCATTTTAGTAAAATAGATCACCTCAGGTCCTCTATGAACCCCTATCACATCAGTCAGGTGAATCAAGCTGGATACTGTTGATGTCGAATATACAGGCTGACTGAAAAAAACGCCCCAAGCCATAGCGCCGCTATTTATTATCCGATTATGAAAAACAAAAAAACAAATGGAATGATATATCAGATACTACAAGGTGACACTAACAATTTTTTTTTAAATTCCAACTCTAACGACGCCGATTGTCAACTTATTTTTTCGAATGAAAACATATATTTTTCAATTTTTTTTTTGATAGAGATTTTTTTTCTGAATACAATCATGTATAACAAGTTGATTTTTGCACAAAATTAGTTGACAAAAATCAATTCTCCGCCGACAAGTAATGGGTCTTTTCATTACATTGTCTATCGAGTCATTGAACGTAGAGTCCGTCACTTATACAAAAAAAGACATAACAATGTTAGAAAAATTATGATTAATCGAAAACAAAATATCTGGCCCCCGCCCTGTTGAACACATAGTTCACACCTTCTAATTACACCATGAGTTGCGTTCCAGATAAAATTAGGAGGTATTTCACGACAAACTTCAATGATTCTCTGCTGCAGAGTTTCTTAATTTTTTTGACGTGATAGATATACTTGATCTTTAAGATACCCCCCACAACCAAAAATCAAGTGGCGTGAGATCGGGTGATCTTGGCGGCCATCGAACTGGTCCATAAGTCCCAATCCATCTCTCAGCAAATGTAGCATTCAACCAATCAACATTTATTTGGGCTTTAGGAGCAGGGGCTCCGTCTTGTTGAGAGTAAATTCTGTTCAGATCGGCAACTCCTCCAAAAAGTGTTCGATATTTTGATGCAATAATTGGTGATATCTCTGTTGATTTAGTGCGCCATCTATAAAAAATGGACCAATCAATCTATCGCACCAAATACCACACCACACATTCACACTGAATCTATTTTGAAAATTCGTTAAAAAAGATAATTCTTGGATTTTCTTGGCTCCAATAGCGGTGGTTGTTTCTATTGAAAATGCCATTATTAGTGAATGTACACTCGTCGGTCCAAAAATTTTTTCTATAAAACGTTCGATCTTGTTGCATCGCATTCAGAAAATGCCTGCAAAATTGTTCCCTTCGATCTCGATCATTTTCTACTAGTGCTTGTACTTTCTGGGGCACGTATGGTATGAATTTATGCTTCTTGAGTATTGCTTGCACGGATTGTTGCGAAACGCCAATGTTATTAGCAATTTCTCGAGTAGAAGTCCTTGGGTTTTCTTCTACACTAAGAAGAACTTCAAATTCGACATCCTCATCAAACTGACGTTTCTTTCGTTTAGGTTTCTTGAGTGTTCCGTAGTTTCTCAAATTTCGTTCTAGCCTAGCAAATTTACGACGAACTGGAACTTCTCTGTCAGGAAATCGGTCAACGTATAATCGCAATGCTTGACCACTATTTCTACCGCATTCAAAGTACGTTTGTATCATGTCGTCAGTTGATTATTATTCATATTTCGTTTTATTTTGAAGAATGAATATCTTGAGCTGTTTGAAAATATGGAACAAATGTCACACTGACAGCTCATGACCATAGTTGATTCTGAGACATCTACTGCCACTTCAATGACTCGATAGACAATGTAATAAAAAGACCCATTTCTTGTCGGCGGAGAATTGATTTTGTCAACTAATTTTGTGCAATAATCAACTTGTTATACATGACTGTATTCAGAAAAAAAAATTGTATCAGAAAAAAAATTGAAAAATATATGTTAACATTTGAAAAAAAAATTGACAATTGGCGTCGTTAGAGTTGAAATTTAAAAAAAAATTGTTAGTACCACCTTGTAGTATCTGATATATCATTTCATTTGCTTTTTTGTTTTCCAAAATCGGATAATAAATAGCGGCGCTTTGGCTTGGGGCGTTTTCTGTCAGTCAGCCTGTATACAGAAGGTACAATTTTTCAGCTCTCCACTGATATCATTGGTAAATTCTAGATACACTCGGGGAAAAACTGAAATTAGCACTTATCAACTGTAAACTGAGCTTGGAAAAATCAAAGAGATGTATCGAAGGTTACTACCGAATAAGAACATTATATGCTGACTTCTTCGACCGTCTAGTACCAGATACCGAAGATTATAAGCAGGCTAAACGTCTAGGGTGAGTCCATTGAAAAATATTCAACGAAATGTTTTTATACAATATCGATAACTTTTGAATGTATTCATACTCCCAGTATACACATCGACACCCGTTTATGTCCAATCCGAAATCAACATATTCTTTCAGAATATTTGGATATTGCCAAAATGTTGTCATACACTCGTAGGAAAAACATGCAAAAATATACTTCTTTTTGCTATTGTTAGGATAATAACTTTCACAGGTTAGATGGATTGATACTTCCTTCAATTCACAAAGACTCATTCACAGAATGAGAATTGGGTCGGTTCAATTCAGATTTCAAGATTCCGAATGGTGCCGAATGGGGTGTCATTGTACTCACAATGTTTTCTCCTATCGTAATATGTGAAAATATACCGGGTGCCCTATTTGAAATAAAAAAATTTGGGTCATTCCCGGTCAAACCGGAAGTGACAGAAAACAATTGAATACGTTAAATAATGCATATTCATGTACCATACTCACACACCGAATTTTCGTTTTTTCATAGATGGTATTCACTATACCACAGTTGAGAGAATATTATGTAATATTCTCTCAACTGTGACTATACTGAAAACTGAACATGAAAATGGTAGATTCAAGATCAATTAATGAAATTCCCCTGTAACTCATTTGTACACTAACATCATCACTCATCCATATGCCAACATCAATATGTCACAGAGAGGTGACAAACTATAGAAAAGAAATTCAAAGGATGATATTATTATGCATTTTTTTTTTAAAACAGGTGCAGATTAGTTCACAAAACGTCCAAAGATTATAGATACGATATTCCTTCAATATGTCTATATTTCTTCTCTTCAAACATTTTTCCAAACGAAGTGTCTCTAACAAGCTCTTGTATTTTCACTTCCGGCTCCCTGATGATGATGAAAGAACTTGTTGAACGCAGTGACATTTTGGGGCAAATCATCTTCTCTGTCTTACTAGACATACAGGGTTTCCTAAAAGAACCGGAACGGCCGAATATTTCAGCAACGGCTTGACATAAAATTATATGATATTCGGTATACGGGGGTAATCAGTGGTGCCGGATCTAAAAATAATATTTACAACGTTGCCAGTTTCACAATTTTTCCTATAGAGCCCTCAACTTTATTTATTTATTTATGCTATGTTTATTTTTAGCGCATTCGATTTGTCTTGTGAAAACTACCATGACCCTATAATATCAAATTTGTATTCCCTTCATTTTTGTTAATATGACAAATGAACATTTCGTCGAAAAATATCACAAAATTTGAATATTTCGAGAAATTGTGGCGATATGATAATAAAAATTAATTTATGAGGAAGTTTTTAGCAAGTCTGATTGAAAAATACCATTTTCAACGTTGCCAAATGTGTTCATACTAAATCTTCCTAAGTTTTCATTCAAACTGCCTATTTGATTATTGGGCATTTCATTTGATGCCAAGGACATTCTTGTAACCTAAACAAATCGAACCCTATTGATCATGAGAAGCTATCAAGAAGTTTATGAATTAGTTTCACCAGAAAGAAATTAAAAAATCTAGAGTTTGCCGATCTATTAAGAAGGCAGTTTAAATAAATACTTAGGAAGATTCAGTATAAACAACATGTAGATTTGACTACGTTGCAAGTATTATTTTCAGATCCGGCACAACTGATTACCCCCGTATACCAAATTTCATAATTTTATGTCAAGCCGTTGCTGAAATATTCGGCCGTTCCGGTTCTTTTGGGAAACCCTGTATATTGAAATACCTAGTACTTATATTTTCATTTTATAGAAACGAGGTGAGAAAATCTCGAATAATCTAGTGATATGAATGTACCACCTCCTGGATTAACCTACAGACAATATTTAACAATTAATTTGTTTCTGTATATTTTATTGAAGGAAGACGGTTTTCATGCCAAAACTAACACCAGACCTATGCCGAATAGCAATCTTCAGAGTTGACGATCCAAATGGAGAGGCAAACGATGGGCTACAGTACGAAATAGTCGCAATTATGGGAGCAGAGATGAGGATTATGTCTGGGGATTGTGCTTTAACGAATATTATCATTCTAGACTTCAGAGACTTTGGACTGAAGAATATTATCAAATACACGCCTAACGTGCAGCACAAAATAGTCAATATAATGGTTGGTATATCTTCAGAACAAAATGATAAAGCTGTACTGCCGTCATAACCACAAAGAGCTTTCCTCACATCAAAGACAATGGGGAAGTTTCCTATATTGAGGTTTTAATTTCACTGTGAAGCTTGTAAAAAATCAATACATACATATTTTTTTTCTTATTTTTGTAAGAACAAATTTCACTTCAGAAAAAAAAAAATAAAAGAGGAACTTGGCTCCTCCACCATTCCTATGACGTACTTTCTGAAAATCCACATTCACACAAAGTTGAAATACGACGTTGCCGACATCATCAATATGTCTAGATTTCCGAAAATTGTTCTCTGAATGCCTCATAACTATATCATAACAGCAATGGGATATGATAGGTTCTTCAATGTCTGTCAAGCATTATGAATGATCCCCATAAATCTCTCATTGGCTGAATGAAGTTCATTACTAATGAAGATAAATTATGATATTTTGCAATAGTATCTATAATTTTTCACTATCGTTATATTACAATATGTTATTCATAACTTGTCAGTTACTTTCTTGCTAATGAATTCGTTCCTTAATAAAACGAATTCATTTTCTAGGAAAGTTGCAGATTATATCCTCCGATTAGACTCACGTGTTTCTAATGTTGAGTATTCGATAATCAACAATAATGGGGATTTCCACCAATGAAAACCTCTCGATCTTCCCTGTTCAGAAATTTTTCATTTTCCTTCATTTCATTCATGGATCTGATACTGTTCTGCAACTGATATTTATTCTCATTATCATGACGTTTCAGTACCTCTGGCTTATGATGTGCTTATTATAAAAAAAACTGCTAGAGTCACAAACTTAGATCAGTCACTATCCATTAATCTTTGAAAATAATTCACTATTTATTATTCAGATTCCATATATTTTCATTTATCATGATTTTCCTGTTCTCCTCTTCATCATTCGAAGCAAATTATATGAATACGCAAACTTATCGTACCTACATTTTTTAGTGAAATAGGTATTCTGATGAAAACCTTTTCAATTATTTTTTTTTCGATGATCAGCTTGGTAAATACCCATATTCATTTCATGATGACTGAGAGTTGAGAAATAAGTTGATTGAAACATTTCTTCTTGCAGATAGCAGTCAACCTCAGGATAAAAAATATCCATCTAGTCAATTTACCACCAATGATTGATAAGCTTATCACTTTGATAAGAGCAGTTTTGCCTGCCAAATTCTTCGATAAGGTAGGAATTGATGGATAAGGGAAATTGTATTTTGGTGTTTTCGTTCCAACTGATGGTCAAACCATACAGGGTTTATGAATTATTACATTTCAATTTTGATAAATTATGTGATTTTCTCATCCGTCCATTATTTTTAGATTTGTTTTCATCAGAATTTCGAATCCCTATACGAGTATATTCCCAAAGAATATCTACCCAAAGATTATGACGGAACTCAATCGACTATAGACGAATTACAAGGTAATTACAGAATGTTAATACATATACTAGGTGGGCCATAATAAATCACCCTATTGGAAGATGATCTTATTTTTGCAAATGGTGGCCAATTTTGAATCTGTCTTGACGTTTGTGAACTAGACAGATATAGAATACGAGTGAACGAGCCATGGAGCGATACTCTCCCCAAGAACGCGGAATAATCCAAGCCAAATCATCCTCAATCTCACTGACGATTTTTCGACCAAAATCATATTGAGCGACGAGGCTCATTTCCACCTCAGCAGGTACGTGAACAAGCAGAACTTTCGCTTCTGGGGCACCGAAAATCCACAAGTGATGCACGAGGAGCAATTACACCCGTTCAAAGTAACTGCATGGAGCGCTGTTCACTCTGGAGGAGTCATCGGGCCATTTTTTTCGAGGACGCTGCTGGTCAACCGACAACAGTGGACAGTGCGCGCTATAGGGCCATGTTAACAGAGTTTTTCCTGCCGCAATTGAACGAATTAGGACTGAAGGACATGTGGTTCCAACAGGATGGAGCAACGGCACACACTGCGCGAGCGAGACGTTCCCGGGTCGCCTCATCTCTCGTTTTTGCGGTTTGCTCTGGCCCGCAAGATCGCCCGATTTAACCACCCCAGACTTCCTTTAGGATTTTTTGAAGTCTTGTGTTTACTTGAACAAGCCCGAGACCCTGAAAGCCCTCAAGGACAACATTCGACACGAGTGCGAGAATCTGTCGCCCGAAGTTCTCGCCTAAGTGATGAAAAATGTCATAAAACGAGCCCGTATAGCAATCAATTGTGGCGGTGCCTACTTGGCCGATATCATCTTCTCGACTTGACCAATAAAATTCTTAAGGTTCAAAAAACAGAATTGAAGCTTTTCATTCGGAAAAAAAAAGAGAGCCAAACAACGTCGGATGACTTCTTCTGGCCCACCTTGTATTATGTACAGGGTGACATCTTGATAGCTTGAAATAATAAGTTTTAGCCCTCTTAGCTCAACCCCCGAGGAGAGGTAGAAGTGACCCTAAGAATCTCAAATGGGAAGAGGGGTGAAATGGTACATAATTTTGAAGGGCGTCCAATTCTCTTTTCAACGAAAAATGCCGTGTCACTTAGAAAAATTGTCCCCTCAATAACTCTCTTTCTGTGAATGGTTTGAAAAATCGGAAAGACACGTCAATCTCTCAGCTCAGCCCCCTAGGAGGGGTGGATGTTACCCTTAGAACCTAATATAAAAAGGGGGCTCAAAATGCACATTATTTCAGAAGGCGTTCAAGTATCTTCTCAACATTACCATAGTTTTTAATTTTCTGATGAGTAGTTTCCGAAAAATGCCGTTCTCAACTTACAGAAGTAATCAGAACATGGCTTGCACTGACATGCATAGTTTTCAGGTTAGTCTCATTGTATTGACTTTGCCTTCAGTTCAAATGGTAGGAATATTCCGAATGCATCTCAGCATCTCATCAACGGACATCTTCTACTAACTTTTGTGAACTGCTCATCAATGAATGCTAAACTACACAGAGAGAAAGTGGATATTAATAGTTAATTAACCAACTAGTGTATTAATGAGGGCGATTAATGATCGAGATATTTCAACGTGCGAGCGAAGCGAGCGCGTTAATGTTCGAGATCATCAATCGCCTTTTTGATATACAGGTTGGTTACAAAATTTTTCCGTCGACTATATTTCTCATTTTTCATGCAATGAAGAAAACTTGGTACGCGAATTCATCATTCATCCAGAAACTGCTAAGAATCACCCAGAAGCCTTGTTACTGACATAAGTGACATTTGACATTTGTCGAAATGATCAACATAGAAAATAAATTACTTGTGTTAGGAAACTGGGATTGAAATCGTGTCAGAAACTTGGAAAGGCGAACCCGTTAACGGAAAATCTTCGATGAAATCCATATTTTCGATTCGAATGCAGATTCCGTAAGTTATAGCATAAACAATGAATGCACGCGGTGTATGTTTGGTTGCCTATAAAACAATCGTGCATTAATAGACAAATCGTTCATCAATAGGGGTCATTAATGAACGATTTCATATACATTAAACTTAGTCGTTAATACGAGATCGACGGAAAAAATATTTACCAGCTCTGATTGTAATAACCATTATGGAGAAATCTAGCAATGCACATGTATGACGGTTATTAGACAATCATTCGACAATCGTAATTGGGCTCATTTCGCTCTAGTTTTTCATTAGTTTCGGGGCTGACAAAGCTGAAGATCACGTTAATTTTCACTTCTGTTCTCGGTCATGAGTGCCTTTCTTCAATCATTCAATTGTTCTATGATTCCTTTCGTCCGAATCGATAGAGTCGTGTCTTGTGGGCGAATGTGTGAGATGTAGCAAAATTTTGTTTCATTGCTGGCTGTTAACAAAGCTGTGAAATACACCGTGCAATGTATTACTTCAATGAAAAAAGTATTCTCCATACCCACTTTACACGGCCTGAAATTGGTTTATTTCGAGAAACAAAATGATCGATGAGATTTTGAATGAAAATATCTGGGTTTCTGTGAGGGAAGTTTTATTGACAATTCTCATCATAACTCCGAAGGAAGAGTAAATATAAGTATTCAACTTCCCATCTCTTGATAAATTCGTCAGAATGCATATAAACTGCTCCACATTTGAAGTGAGACAAGCGAACATTTTGTTTGTTTTCGAACCGTGATAACTTTGGATGAGATCAACCGATCTTTGATCAGTTTTGAGATTGTAATTGCCCAGTTGATTGGCTATAACAATTTTTTTTTAAGTTTCTCCACCATTTCAGAATTATGACCTACAGGATGATATCTGAAAGTGTGATAATTTCCGAAAAGTTTGAGGTCGCCCCGTTAGCAGGATAATTTTTTTTTTAATTTTTCTGACGGCAAAAACATGAACCCTAATGTGTTTCCTCGAAATGGTTTCGGATTCATCAAGATCCATACAGGATGTTTTGAGATATGCAATATCATGGATTAGCAAAAGTGATTTCGTGATTGAACGAAAAACCTTCAGGGTTAGTTCGCAGGGAGGAATAAAGTGAATGTGGAGTGTGGTTATTTTATGAATAAAATTGTCAATGCTAGGATGTTTTTTTTTTTTTCAGTGGATATAGAGAATGAGAATTGATGAACATATACCACGAAGAGAATACAGATAATACGTAACACAATATTTTTTTAATAAAGAAAAATTAACAACGGCAGATGTGGTCGATTATCAATATTTTGTTACACCACCACTGGCCGCTGCGAGAGCCCTAACTCTTCTCGGCATACTTGTTATCAAGCCATCAATGAAATCTTGGGGAATAGCTGTCCATTCTTCCACTATCGCATCTTCCAGTTGTTGAATATTCATCATTTCACCTTCTCTTCTCTTCAAACATAATTTTAACCTAGCCCATACATGTTCTATTGGGTTCATGTCTGGAGATACGGGTGGCCATTCCATTTTTCCAATATTATGTTGTCTCAGAACTTCGGTTACAATTCTCGCACGATGTGGTCGTGCATTATCATCGACCAGTACGAAATTGTCTCCAAAGTTTTGAGCAACTGGTATAACAACATCTCTTATACACATGTCACGATATCGAACAGCATTCATACTTTCCCTCAAAATAACCAACGTGGTGCGATGATTCATCATGATACCGCCCCATATCGTAACACCCCCACCCCCAAATGCCACCCGCGCCTCCATGTTTTCCTCCAGAAACCTCTCACCCCGTTCTCGCCATACTAAAATCCTTCCATCTGATCTGAACATATTACACCTACTCTCATCTACGAATAAACATCTCCTCCAATCAGCTATTCCCCAGTTCAAATGGTTCTGAGCCCAAAGTCTTCGAGCTATCCTGTGGTTCAGCTTTAACAAAGTACAAGATGCCCTCCTTCTCGCTCTCAGATTGCGCTCATGAAGCCTTCATCTGATTGTCTCATCTGAGACAACAACTCCTGTTGCATTTCTTAGTGCACAGTTCAGTTGTCCAGCAGTCTGTGTTCGAAGACGACGTACCGAAGTAACTAAGAAATTATCATTTCTATCTGAAGTCTTTCGTTGTCGTCCACCTCCGTGACGATAATTAGGATCTCCTGTTCGATCGTGACGACGGATTGCCCTGTATATTGAAGCTCTTGATGTATCGAAATACTGTCCAATGTCTTCAACATTCAAACCACCATCTCTCATTCTGAGAACCATTTGTAATTGTTCATTAGTTAGTCGTGGCATATTTTATTACAATAATCAAATGTTTGACAATTTCTGATTATTTCCCAGACAACATATCATACCGAGGGGTTAACCAATGAATTTAAGGTATTCAAAAAATTCGAATAGCCATTATGTTGTTCAAAATTGCATATCTCAAAACATCCTGTATGGATCTTGATGAATCCGAAACCATTTCGAGGAAACACATTAGGCTTCATGTTTTTGCCGTCAGAAAAATTTAAAAAAAGTTATCCTGCTAACGGGGCGACCTCAAACTTTTCGGAAAGTATCACACTTTCAGATATCATCCTGTAGGTCATAATTCCGAAATGGTGGAGAAACGTAAAAAAAATATGTTATAGCCAATCAACTGGGCAATCACAATCTCAAAACTAATCAAAGATCGGTTGATCTCATTCAAAGTTATCACGGTTCGAAAACAAACAAAATGTTCGCTTGTCTCACTTCAAATGTGGAGCAGTTTAGATGATATTTCTCCGAGAAAATCAATGAGTAATGTAAACTTCCAGAGAAAACCAGATATTTCAATTCAGAGACTGATTGTATTTTTTTGTTTTTTGAAAGAATGAATTTGGATCATGAGAAGTGAGTGTGGATAGAATTATGCATTTCCATTGCAGTAATTCAGAGCATGCACAGTTCCATAATGCATATCATCGAACAATGTCGATTAGATAACCTAATTACCACTAATTGATAAATATACTAGAGTAGAAAAGTATTGGAATAACTGTTGAAAATGAGCTATATCACAATAGCATGTCAAAAATGGCAGGTTTCATTCAGATATCAGATATCTATAATAAAATGAGACGAATTACTGCGTTACCTCAAGATCACACCTATCCTCGATCTATTGCAGATATCGTCATAACGGTTATCAGATTTCCAATTATGATAACTCCAGTTCTCTCTCTGTGTAGAAAACTGTTCTAAAAGGAATTGAACGCCCTTTGAAATAATGTGTATCTTGACCTTGACCCCCTTTTGATATAACGTTAGAAGGGTAACATCTACTCCTCCTAGGGGTTGGACCAAGAGGTCTAAGAATATGCATTTATAGTATCCCCCTTGAAAGTGGAATTGACCAATTTTTTCGATTTTCCATATTATTCACTGAAATTAAGGGCGTGAAGTTTTCTAATTGACCCCCCTACTCATTCGAGATTCTCAGGGGGTTTAACCAAGAGGGCTGAAATATTCATTTTGAGTGTCCCCCTTGGGGATAGAATAGACCTGACTTCTCGTTTTATCATAATATTCACTGGGAGAAAGATATTGGGGGTGGAAAGTTTTCAGAATATCACCCTGTATGTTCAGAGAGAAGAGTGTTCTTAGATTCAACGATGTGAATAGGAACAATCAAAAATCATACCTTATTCACAACCTGTCATCCAAATCCCAATTAGAAGGTCAAAAGATGACTTTGAGTATTTTTTGCAGTAATAGACGATTTGTTTCACTATTAATAAGTTCCAACTATTTCTGCTTTCAGGATATATGTTTTAAATTTTTTGTTTGTTTGCAGAAATGTGGTGTGCAGAAATGGAGAAACATGTAGATAAATTCAAAAAACTGGTGGTTTCTGCCAAATGCCCAAGACTTCTGGACACAAAAGTTCCAGAAAATGTACAATTTGGGACAGATGGATCTTTCAGACAGCTCACACTTGACTGATGCCCAGAAAGCTCATTTGATTATATAATTTTCTATATTGTACATTGTATAGATAATTTGGTTGTTCATAATAGCATATTGAACCGAATCGAATTATACTGCTTCATCAGAAGAAACCTACTGATATCATTCGTATAACATCTACTTAAAGTTATTCCCTGATAGTACACAACGTCCTAGGGACGTCCCAATTTGGTACAATTAACGTCCGAATTTTCCGTACCAAAAATAAGTGTCCTTGGGACGTCCCATCCCGTACATCTCATGCAATGTTCGAGCAAGGACGTCCACGGAATGTCCCAGCTGGTACAGCATTTCAAATGTCCTATAAATAGCATCCCTTAGACGTCCCACGTGGTACATCTTGTAGAATGTCCATGCAAGGACGTCCCTGGCATGTCCCTGATGGGATATGATTTTAAACGTTTCTTTAGGGACATCCATTGGATGTACCGAGTAGTACATATTCTGGCATGACTTCAGATCTTATATAATGCCCCTTCTAGACAAATATCTCTGCACAGACGCCCATAATATTTCCAGGATCGTTTAAGAATCGAATGTCCCTTAGGGTTGTCCGTCGGATGTCCCAATTGGTACATGAACTGTTAACTTACACCTCGCCGACGAATGATTGCTCGTAGGCTATAAGTACTCCTCGTCAATGTCCTTCACGTAAGTCCATTGGATATCCTTGGGAAACTTTTTGGAGACCTCCTTCAGACCATCAACTCAACTGGATGTCCTAATGAGTTATGCAAAGATCTGGTCCTGGAGGGACCCAGAAAAATTTGAATTCAAGAAAAATTCGTACGTCCCTGGGACATCCTATGGACATCCAATTGATATCCCTCAGCGTTGCTGATAGGTTGTCCAATGGATGTCCTAAGGAAGTCCTCTGTGGTGCTTGATGAGGAATACTGTAGGATTTAGGTATTCGATAGTAGTCCCAGGGATATCCCTCAGGGACGTCCCTAGTTGGTCCTCAAGTGGGACATTTTTGCGTCCCACAGACGTCCAATGGACGTTCACGGTACCAAATTCGAACGTCCTATGGACGTCCTGAATGTCCCGACAGGACGTTCTAAGGATATCCATGGGACATAAGTGTGTTATTAGGGTTTTTGATAACTCACAAACACATGTGAATTTGGAACGAACATTACGAATACTTTCAAGTGGAAGTTACTCAATAATACTTTTTTGGATTCAGTATCACAGTTAACAGTTGATAGTCTGTATGTCAGTTATTAGGTGAATCTTGAATGAAACTGCTCATTGCTGCAAGTACCTACCCCTGGATGTTAAACCATATCTCATGTGGGTTTCAATCAAAGCAAAATACATAATACATACCATTTTCGTAGTTCACGCTCAGTTCCTCAGCCACTACTCGCACCATCCTTAGTGTCGTTCACTACTTAACTTATTGATCTCAATAGAATTGTAACAATATCGGTGCAATATTACGAGAATATCGGCAAAATATTCCGAACATAATATTGGAGAGAAAGTAAATGTAAACATTCGACGATATTGATACAATATGAGTTCCAAAATGTGGGTGCAATATTGAAAATCAGCATGTCTTGGAAACATTGGTTGAATATTCGTATATATTGGTTATGAAATGTGAAATCAAAAATGATGATCGAGAAATGGAAAGAAAACATTTGACAATATTGGTACAATACTAGTAAAAAGTATTGGTGGATCATTGAAAATTATTATGTTGAATGTTCTCGACTCTCGTCTCTTTTGAGAATATGAATCGAATATTCTTACACCAATATTGGCGAGAGATAAAATGAGAACATTCGGCGATATTGGCCTTTTTCTAGTGAAGCCGTCTTGTTGATCACGGTTAACCTCTACGCCAAGGAGTATGCTTTTCAATCGTCTTGAGCCAATATTTATATCCACTCGTCTGACTGGCATTGAAGGTACGTTACCAATAATTTATATCGCCATCTATCCACAAAGGTTTGAGAGCAATATCAAATAAATATCGAGATGCCGATATGGATATGTATCTGCAATACAATTTGTTCGCAATAGGTGATGGAACTGGAAAATACAATAGTGGGTTTCTCTTATTCTATTACCGATATGAAGAAAAAATATCTGATGGCCGATAAAGATATTCATCTTTGAAACAATATGCATCCGATATCTCCCGCATGAAATGGTCAAGACGGTATTGATGAATATAGGTGAATATGATGAATATGATCAAATATCGTTGGCCGTCGAACCCGAATATAGAATATTGCATAACTGCTTCAGAATCGATATGAAAAAGGTGTTCAAATTGTAATAGTGGTTATTGTTGAAAACAATATGTATACGATGTTTTTGTACCGACATTCGTGGAACAATATCATATAGTATTTATAAATATGTCTCTCCACATATTGTGAACGAACGTTCCAACCAATATTGCTTCAATATTGCAGCTCACAATTCATATCCAGCTCGGGTCGAACCAATATTTCACCAATCAAATCATCCCAATATTGTATTTTGAATAGCTCTATCGGCCCACATGACCTAACCTAACCTAACCTGAGTAAGCGTCAATCTTCCCAGATAGCACACAATCGCCTGAAGTAATCCTCATGTGTCGCCAAATGGGCGTGAATGAGTTTTTTTAGTGGCAGCCTGGGGATGTAGAAGACTTCGTGCCTATGGATGTCTTTATATGACATTCAATGGAATAATGTCCCATCTAGCACCCGACGTCCTGAGAACATCCATGTACGTCCAACTCTAAACCATATCGATTTCAGGTGATAATGATATTTAATAAATATTGAAATCATTGCGGAACATTTCTTTCCTAGATCTCAGATATCAAAATCATAATACAAGTCTCAGAATTCATGTTCAACTGGCCGTACAAGTACACGAATAGTCAGTATGATTTCATTCCAATCCATAATAGGAAGGCCGTTTCACTGTGAGATATCAGTAGTGAATCACATAAAAAATATAAGTTGTTCAAGGTGATACAAGATAAATGCTTATTGAGGAAAAAAGTCAGCAAAATATTGAATAACGGTAAGAAGGCGCAGAATAACCCAAAGTAGGTTCATCGAATATTATTTTCGTGGCAGGCTGAGAGTTGTCGTGTTATTGGTAGTGAGTACAGTTTCATGCTATGAACCTTGCAGCCACAGGCATATAACTCACTAGTAGTAATTCAGCTGAACAATGATAAAAATATCATGCTGTCCCAGAGTGGCTGCCTAATAGCAACAGCAGTATTCGTTATTGTTAGCTTTGGCTGCTTCTATTCGATAATGTGTGAAGGTAATAGGATTTCTTGTGATGGCAGCAAGAAATATCTCTGCGATAACTATAATAGCACAATATTTTCCCCAGTGTAAACACCCTGAATACTACATAATATTAAAATTTCAACCTTCAGTTGTTGTCGCGATTGTTGGTACTCACCTCTCGGTCTATCGTGCTTCATAAACTATCCTAGATCGATCCTGCATTCGCTTTGCCAGCAAAGAAAATATCGGATATCCATTTATTCCAGTTGCTTATTCATTTCTTCGTTTGACCTGTTCAGTGGCATCACCATCGGATATCAAATGGCGATGGCCCACAAAGATATCGAGAACATTTTCCAACTTACAGACGACCTGAGTATGTGTATAAAGTTGCCGTATCTCTATGCAGGGATCCTTTTCCTTGAAATTCTGGATTCATCAATCTCGACGTTACAAACTTTAAGATCCGGATTTATATCTTGGAAGACTTTCTTAAGGTTTCTAACTATCCTACCTTCCACCTCCGAACTGCCTGATGATAATATTGATGATGCGAAAAGAAACTCACCTCTGAAATAATTTCACGGAAATTAGGGTTTCGCAAAGAGGGGTTGAATAGGCCTTATCATTCGAATTACGAATGATTACACAGGGGAAAATCATTTATACAAGTTTATGTTGAGGAAAATCATAACTGCTTATTGAAATTATTGAACAACCCAAAATATTATTCGATGAACGTAAAAAGTTAACGTTTCCTTCACGTTGGAAGGTTCATCTTTCAAAACATTTTTGTTCTCGGGAGGTCAGGTGCCTTTCAGATTTGATGTAGGACAAGATGATGGTTGTAAGATGGTGAAGATAATCATTTAGCCTCCAACAGATGTCTTGTCACAGTTATCGGTACTCTATAATTCTCAAACAGGTGACATTTAATTCAGGAAATATAACTGTCTCGTCCACAACTATACTATCTTTGTCATACTCGTATCCCTCAATGATTCATCTCAGTCACTTGAAACATAGCTTGAAACCACTAGTTCAGTTAATCGTCAGTCGTCTCTGATTCTCCAATGTGCTAGGGTGCTTGAAATCTTTATAATAGGAGAATAATATTCTGTCCGAAGAAGTGAAGTGAAGATGAAAGATAAAAGAAAAATAACTATTTTCTACAAACGTCAAAAAATGACAAGGTTCGCGCATTGATAACAAATTGCAAAGTGACACTTTTTTTTCAGTTTCCTACGTTACAATGATACCTTGCACAAAACAATGCGCGAAGTAAAACAGTGCACGAAGTACCTACTTCGCGCACTGTTATGTAAAATATATGAGATATTTATATTTCAACTTAATGGTCCACAATCGAGCAAACATCCACGAAATCATTCATTACTGAATGTTCAATGGATAACTTCGTTTTATCTCTTGGAGCGCACGAAAGGAAGTTCCTATTATGTTCGTGGAACTTCGTGCGTACCTAGGGAGGATATATAGGGGGAGACCATCAGAGCCTGTTCAACACTATTTTTCATATCAAGCTGAGCATATCTCCACTTAAGAAATTTTTTTTTGAGGTTTGTAGAAAAAATGTTGTTTGCAACTCGAGCGCGGAATACTTTGCTCATCTCGACTATTTTTTCAACTCGGATACGCCTCGTTAAAAAAATCAGATCTCGATCACCAAAGTAGCATTTCGCGCTCTAGATACAAAAATAACTATCTACAAACGTCAATAAATGACAAGGTTCGCGCATTAATAACGAATTGCGAAGTGACACGTTTTTTTTTCAGTTTCCTACGTTACCCTGATACCTTGCACAAAACGA